ATTTCTCACATCACAGCTTTTGTCTACTTACTGACTAATTTGAGGAAAAAATACTGATCTATGCAGTTCAAATCTAAATTTTCACCGTGCAATGCCGGATAACTCAGCTAGTTACTCCTAAAATTAGGTCATCCAATTAGGACCCCACATGTACCTTCTTATAGGAAACATTACTGTTACACCGTATATATACTGTATAAAAAGTGACAGTAATTTTTTCCATTAGCAAATCAAGTGGTGTTCCATGGGTACAACAGCCCTTGATTTGTAGTGAAAGCAACCATCAGGAACTGCTTCAAATTTGCATCTTGAAAAGAATAGCATTGTTGTTCTTCTTATGTAATGCTATGTTTTCTCAGTCTGTAACAAGATGATACGAAATTATTTTGAAAATTGAAATTGTCAGATATAAAAGACTGTTTAGTGTAAGTATTATTATTAATTGATTAATTTTGTGTTTATAATTCATTGGTGTTGAGATTATCAAATGTTGTATGCAATCCATTGATATCGAGGCTCTAGAGATTTCTAGAAGGCCTGCGTGATAGACATATATATATATATATATATATAACAGCGACCAGACGAGTAGAAACAGAGAGAAAAAGTAAAGTCGCTTGAAAGAGAAGATCGGTCACAGAAAATTTAAACGTAAAGTTAACCGTCATGGGAGTGAAAGGCCTAACAGTTGATATGTTAGAACAAGAATAACAATTTTGAAAGAGATAAAGAGAATAAGTTGTCTCATCAAAGGGTGTTCTAAAGTAGTCTCACAAAAGATTTTCTAAAGTAATTGAACCCACCTAAGTGGACGTTGAGAAAAAGCAGACAGTTATTGGAGGTACGAAGACCAGACAATTGTTGGGAGTATGAAAAAAGCAGACGATTATTGGAAGTTCATTTTACAACTGCAATAACTCAACGACAATGTAAGTTAACTATACACGGTCACAAGAAAATAGTTCAGCTTGTCAACTTAATTCTAAAGCAATTTAATTGGCTTAAGTGGACTTCTGACAAGAAGAAGAGAACTGTATAGTGTTTAAGATACAACTACGATATCCATAGTGTAAAGAATTTTTGTTTCTACGCTTAACTTGTTTCGAATATATATATATATATATTATTTTGAAAACAAGTGGAGTGCATGCTGTTTGCTTATTATCGAATTTATTGCCGTCAAGTGACACCACCTACTGTAGAAGAATCCTTAGCCCAACACACCCATATACTTACTTTACTATATAAAATAAAAAAGTATGTTCCTGACAGAATATATAATGATTTGCCTTAACACCCAACCTGTGAGTCAATGAGAATGAATTTGGGGGATCTAGTGAGCTACAGAGGTGTGTCACACTTTCTGTTATTCAAGCCAGAACCAAAATATGTACTCCAAACAAGGGCTCGATCTGTTACCCTAAAAAAACCAAACTTTACTGCCAAAAGAGCTTAACTCTCAATAGCGTTTGGCAACAAAGATGCAGAGTTTAGGTAGTTAGCTGGCCTGTGTTCCTCTTGCACAAAATATACAAAGTATTCATGTTCAGGCAGGCATCACACCTAGCCACCTTATACCAGCAAGTAAACCATGTTGGGCCATCCTTGTCAATCTCTATCAACATACTCGTAAAAACCGTAGAAAAAAATGGTTTTAGAGAGCTGAGGAACCAAATCTTGTACAGTCACAAACATGTTTTGTGTGAGATTTTGAATGTGGCTTTTACTCTCTCATAGTTAGAAACAAGTGCAAATTCGGCAATGTTAGTTGGCAATTTAGATTGCAGGTATTATAAGCTCAAATCTCTAATCAGTTGTTGTTTGCTGTTGTTTTAAGAAAGAGAGTATCAGACGGGTTTGTTTGGGAATCAACCCAACAAACACATCTCCCTGACTCGTGGACTGGATGTTTAAAAACATTCCAGTAAGAGGTGCAAAAATACACTTACCCTTAAAAGCTTTGGTTGTTCTTTGTAAGAGTTGGAAATAGATATTGTTTCGCTGTGTGATACATTGTGCACAATCTCTTCCATTGCTATAGACTCAATCACAGTTAAAAGAAATCAGATTTTGCACAGTAAAACATTTTCTGGCAAACCTCCAGTTATTTTGCAGCTCCTATGCATTTACTCACAGAGAAATCAAAGATCCTGAGAATACCACAAGTCTACAACAACTGCAACATTATTATTATTTTCTAAATCACTGAACGTGGTGTACTTAACCACTTCACATGTGCAAACAGTAATGACCCCTGTGAAGCATTATTTTTTTAGGTGTAAAACAAAAGTTCTCATAATCATAAATTTGTATCACATTAAAGTAAAAATCAAAAACAACCTCAATTTTAGAAGTTCTGTGTGAATTTGTTCAATCTAGGTTTAAGAAAATAGACAAAGAATATAGCATTTTCTGTACTTCTTTTACAGCAATGGTCAATAACAGAATAACTATCTACGCTAGTCATCCCTAATTTAGCAGTACAAGGCAGCTACTCTTTTACCAACGAATAGACCATCACATTATAATGCCCCCATGGCTGAAAAGGCAAGCATGTTGGATTCGAACCCGTGACCCTCAGAGTGCAAATCAAGCGCCCTAACCACTTGGCCATGTCGGGCCATGGATAAACTGACTGAAGCCATTTATTACATACAAAAACTAAAAGTCTCAGTAAACATGTAAATTCTACCTTTAGTCAAAACCGGTCCTGTTTACATTTTATTAAATGGTTTTTCAAATGTGGTGAAATTTAAAGTAATATAATTCGTAGAAGAATATAAATGTATCATTTCGCTGAGATTTAAGAAGATAAAAAAAGTAATGTGTTACAGCTGCATTTTGAGAAAACAAATGTGAGATAAAGCATATTGCATCCCCTCACTTATCCTCGAGACTTGACAACTAACTAACTACAAGCGATCATCTCAGATATGAGGATCATTTAGGGCTGAGTACCTAACTCTGCGTTTGGATGTGTAATTTTTTTTTTTACCTAAACGTGAAAGCTAGATATAAAATTATTTTTTTATTGTGTATATAAAGAATATAGATCATTATTACGTTTGTCATCTCCTATCGTTCTTAGTTGAAGTAAAATACGGGTTCGTATTATTCAAATTAACAGCAACAAAATAAGCCTACAGGAATTGAATAAGCAGAATTGGAATAACTGAACAAAATTATGAATTATAATGTCGATAACTAAACATATACAGTTAAAAGTACAGTATCTCAGTATTTAGTTAACTTTTTCATATCATCATGTGATAACTTACGTCAGGCAATTCTTGCAGAGTTACAACGTATTTGTAATTCAAGTTTAACTTACTAAATACACACATTACTACGAGGTGTATATTCTTAAAGATAATTTTTTAGATCCTTGTATCTATGGAATCTGCGTAAATCTAATTCTTTACAGTGGCTGCATCATTATGAAAAACAAAACAAAAATACATTCAGTCTTTGCTGGCGTATTAAAATTAACATCGTTACCTCCTGGTTGTTGTTCATAAATGGTGTACGTTAGGCATAATTTTAAATTGTGTGTGTGGTAAGACCAAAAATAATTTGTGACACATAGCAAGTTACATTAATTAATCTGTTATTTTTACGTGTAAGAAATTTTAGTTTGTTTGTTTGTAACTAAGCACAAAGCCGGTTTCTAGCGTTGTAAGTCCGAAGACATACCGCTGTGCTACTGGGGGGCTAGAAATTTTAGTACATGTTATGCTACAAAGGGATTTAAAAATAATTGTTTGTTTGTTTGTTTTTGAATTTCGCGCAAAGCTACACGAGAACTATCTGCGCTAGCCGTCCCTAATTTAGCAGTGTAAGACTAGAGGGAAGGCAGCTAGTCATCACCACCCACCGCCAACTCTTGGGCTACTCTTTTACCAAAGAATAGTGGGATTGACCGTCACATTATAAGCCCCCACGGCTGAAAGGGCGAGCATGTTCGGTGGGACGGGGATTCGAACCCGCGACCCTCAGATTGCGAGTCGAGTGCCTTATCCACCTGGACATGCCGGGACAGGATTTAAAAATAAAACAAATAAAATATAGTTATATTCAAACATTTTTTACTAACCTTTAAGTAATCTAAACATTCACCATTTTCTTTCCGTAAATTAATTTTTCGAAAGCTTATAACAATTCTATGATCAAAAGGAGCGATTAAAGTAATATTACAATCTGGTAATGTCTGAAACCCTTCTTCAGAAACCATCAGTATTCCAGCTGAACTGTAACTTCTCGATGAAGACAAGGAGATTGTTTGCTTTCCAAGAATACATTCTGAAACTTTATCTGTAATGATCAAAATAACATTTGTTAGAAAATATCTTTTTGTGTTTCACAAGCAGTTTCAGTCGAGAATAACTGCATCTAACCACAGCTATACTGGATTGTTTAAATTAAACAAAATATAGAAAATACTTAATATGGAAACAAGCTTCAGTATTTAGTAGCTTATTCACTCAATACTAAGAATGTCGTTTGTAAATTGCATACAAGTTTTTTTGTAATCATACAACACAGTTAACATATTATTATATAATTAAGGACAAGAAAGGACCTGTTCATCCATCTCATCCATTAGACTAAGCTTTATAAATAAAACCATCAAAGCCAGTCCTTATCATTCAAATATTTATCAAACATACCTTTACATTTACTGTATCGATCATATCTAGCTGAAGGGAACCCATTCCAAATACCAACATACTTATCGATAAATAAAGCTGTATTAGCTGAAAATGACTCATACCCTGCCAAAATTGATAATTATGTCCCCTGGACTTGTTATTGTCACCATTAAGTGCAAAAAAACGAGAAGGAGTCAACAATATCAATTCCCTTAACAATCTTAAATACCTCAGTCAGATCTCCTCTAACTATTCTTTTTTTATTTTTTCAATAGAAAACAATTTCAGAGATTTTAACCTGTCATCTTATAACAACCTTTCCATCCCAGATATTATGCTAGTAGCCCTCTTCTGAACCTTTTCCTTCAACGGTTCAGTGTCCTTACTAAGAAAAGAGCTCAAGAATGAACACAACACTTCAAATGTGGTCTAACCAGTGACCTATGCAATGAAATTATAACCTTTTTAGACTTGTACTCAATATTTCTGTAGACATAACCTAAAATCGTATTTGCCCCATTAGCAACAACACTCTGCTTGGACAGCTTAATAGAATGATTAACCAGAACATCAAAACCCTCTTCTTTCATAACACTATTATGGTTATTTCCATCAAAATTATTTTTGTAGTTCTAGTTATGATATCCAACATATACTACCTTGAATTTTTTATAATTTAAAGCTATCTGCTATTTATTTTTGTTAAGAAGAAGCATCCTTCTCACAGCTAGAAACACCAAAACCTCAATATCATCAGCAAATTTAACTAATTTGTTGACCCTTCTTTCATCTATGTCATTGATGTAAAATAAAAAAAAAGCTAAGATCGTATCTCTGAGCCATGAAGAACCCCATATGTGGCATTACTCTAGTTTAACAGAACTCCATGTATAACAATCCTCTGCTTTGTTCCATTCAACCAGTTTTCTATCCAATGAGCTAAGTTATCTCATAACCTACAAACACAAATATATTTTTAACAAGCATTTTATTTTGAATCTTGTCAAGTGCTTTCTGAAAATCCAGGTACAGCAAATCCAAACCCGTGCTTTCAGTTTGCCTCTGAAGAAGGGTCCACCTTTCGAAAGCGCTCGGGTTATAGTTTTTATTCATTTCTATATAAAGTGGGACTCAGCTCACTCAACGTAACAAAAATTGGCACGTTATCATGCATTTACAACACAGCAGTTAAACACACGCAGCAGCAGTAATCTGTAACAGAAACTAGAATCAGTATCCGATACATTTATTAGCAAATGTCACTTCCATAAACATATTGTCACTAGAACCTCAGTGAAATATAAAAACAAACTTAATAACAGAAGAAAGAACAAGGAAACAACATAATATCCATGAAACAAAATGCACAAACTCAGACACGCTACCATATTATGGCTATGTAATCGAAATCAGTACAGACATTTGAAAACATGTACCAAAGAAATACAATCTAAACAGTAAAGGTATTCTTATTCATAAACCGAGTACTAAAATCAAAGGTCATCCAATAAAGGTTTTTTCTGTCAACTTCAACGACGGAGGCATCTACAAACATCAATGCAATCGATGCGACAGCACTACGTAGGCGAACCGGGAAGCAACATAAACATTAGTATCAAAGAACATAATAATCCTCCATCACACATTTACAAACACAGTACAACAAATCAACACCCAATTGACATTAGCAACTTTAAAATATTATGCAATGAGAGTATTAATAAAACAAAAAGAAAAGAAGTATTAATTATACATGAACTAAAACTTAATTTAAATCACAATACAGGTGTCACCTTGTATGTTTTCTTAATTGGAAGAAAATACGCAATATTTCGTACAGTAGACGATAGTTACCCGATGATGGCCACAGGAGTGGTCAAAACGTTATAATAAAGTTAAACAAAAAATAAATATATAATTCACTCGGAAGCTGTACCTCTGGACTTTTATTTAAAGTATATAGTGGATTTCCTCTCTTCACAGCATGTATGCATTCCATTGCTTGTTTTGTTGTTGTTTTTTATTTCGCGCAAAGCTACGCTAAGGTTATCTGCGCTAGCCGTCTTTAATTTAGCAGTGTAAGGCAGCTAATCAACTCTTAAGCTACTCTTTTACCAACGAATAGTGGGATTGACC